TCTCCCAGACAAGAAGCCAAGAGACAGGAGACTCTGGATAATTAATGGGAGCTCTGCAACTCGAGCTTAATTACACGAAACAGTGGCTGCACCCCGAGTACCTGGAGCCACGAATAGCAAAGGAGGCACCCGGAGAGGGGGAAGCACACGGAGGATGCACCCGTCTTACCGCCATCCCGAGCAGACGGGTTGGCTAATAAGGCCTGTTTTGGGTTATGATTTTTCTGCAAGGCAGAATAAATGGCTTTGGAGAGCCTTTGTCTGAAGCTGCGGGGAGCTGGGGCTTTTCTGTTAAGCAGGGCATTTGTCTCAACAGCCTTTAATAGACAAGCCGGAGATCTGCCTACGCCCAGCAGACCGGAGGCCAGGGGAGAGGTTTGTTCCGTGGTTAATTCCACCTCGTTCTCAGGCTATCGGGGTCTTTCCACAGGAGGTGAAAGGGGCAGAGGGTTTGTACAACAGAATAGAGCAAACCCAGCGCAAGGCAGCACATTACAAGCCCAAACGACAACAGGAAAATCATAGAGGCTTTCCAAATATTCCATACAGAAAAGCCAGCCCTGAAAAACAGACATATCAAAAAAGGCAGGAAGGAAACAGGAGAAAACACACTTACCCACACTCCCACCGCGAGGTTTAAGGCAAAATAAACCACCACCACGACGAGGTCGGCAACGCCGAACTGCTGCGAGGGGGTAAAGGCTCCGGCCGTGGAATTGCCCTCCATCGCTCCTCGGCCTCCTTCAGAAAGCCTCGGACACCAAATCAGTAACTCGTTAGCAGCCTGAGGGCATTTATCATTAAACAAGGCGGCAGCAGGAGCTTCGCATCCGAAGGCGCTCAGGTGGGCAGCCTGGCTCGCCGCTGGCGCCCTCCCCTCCCCACCACCTGAGGAAGTGCGGTGCGGGCGAACACCTCGATTTTGGTGTCTTACAAACGAGCAGCATCTTAATCCCCCTTTCCTTGGGGTTTTCTGCTTCTCCTGCATGATTTTTGAAGCAGCAGTAGGGTCCAGTCCAAGCTGCTCCTGCAACTACTGCATTTCTGTGACGCAGACTCTCAGGGCACAGGCTCCCAGCTCAGGGGGGGCCTTAAACCTAGATATTGTGGGTGAGAAACTGCCAGGGGCTCTGACTTCCACAAACTGTAAACCAAAACCCAGCACTTTTCTTGCAGATAAGAGTCTGGAAGGAATTGACATATCTTCTGCCTAGATAATTACTGTAGGAATTGCCAAATGAAGCAGGGGTTAAGCGCTCTTTACGTTTGAAGAATCCCAGAGCAATACCACCTGGAATAGCTGGCATTTCTGGGGAGCTGGTATTTCTGCTCCTGGGACAAGCACGTGGAGTTCAGGCAGCTCTGCAGTTGTAGGGTGTAATGAAAGGGGTATGAAAAACATCCGAGCGAAGCCGCAGGTGCTTTGCTCCCTTTCAACCACGAAAAGCCAAAGGCCCAGCGATCCAGTCTTACGACCGTGACCATTCCCAAATTCTTCAGTCCCAATCAATACAGGAAATGCACTGGAGTAGCCCGAGTTGGGGGTTTCTACACACTACGCCACGACCAAACGCAGGGAGTTTTGCGAGCACAAGGTGGCCAGCCCAGACGCCAGCGAGGGCCGATGGGCAGAAACACTCACAGAAGAGATGAAGCTGTTCCTCCACAGGCCAACACAAAAAGAACAGGAGGAGAGCAACGCTTGAATTTAACGGTTTTGAGGATTTACCGATCAGTTTTCCACACTGGGTGCCTGGGCAGCTCATTTTCAAGCGGCAGCACACTTTCACACCACGTATCGCAAGGTCTGGCGGATAAAATAAATACACTGCGACTAATACAGCCACCACGAGACAGGTCAGGGGGTTTGTCCTCCCTGCAACAGCCACCGACGGACCCAGGAGCAGGCCTGCATGCTGCGGGAGGGACGGAATTTCTTCCTCACCGCTCAGCTGGAATTTAACCTGCTTTAACACATCTGAAGTACAGACAAGTGTTAATAGGTCAGCTCAGCGTAGGCATTAACATGGCCAAACTGCTTAACAACCTCCTGTCCTTAAAGTACAACCAGGTGCAGCCTCGCGTTTCGGCGTTTCAGAGGCAGAACGTGCCTCGCCGGACAGGGCTGCAAACCTCAAACCCGAGTGTCTGATGAAAAAGCAGCCCCCAGAATGAGGAACAGCGTTATCTGAACAGAAACGTGCGGCTGCTGAAAGAGGGTCACCCTCTGACTTGAATGGCCCAAGATCAAGGTCTTTTGCTGATATTTAGCTCTTCCAGCCACAGCCTGGGCCCCTGCCATTCCCAGTGCTGCGCCAAGACAGGCAAGGGAAGGAAAAAACCAAACTCTTTATCCTTAAAAACAATTCCACACCCTCAGAAGTTTGTCCCAAGCAGAGAGAAACGGTGGCAACACTTGGGTGTTCACGTCTGGCTTTGGACACGCCACAGGTTTTACTCCTTTGCGGGATGTTCTGATCGAGAGACCAAACCACCCCGAAACGCCTGTCGATTCCACCACCGCTTCCCCTGCAACAGGTCAGGGACATCGGCTCCCCCAAAGCAGAAGCTCAGTGTGCTGGCAGGTCATTCCATACCCGCATGCAGCAGGATGGCTGGGAAAACAAACGCGGACAAGCTGTGCGGCTGTTTTTTAGCTCATTGTTCAGGCCAGGCTACGAACCTCTGAAAAAGCATTCATGAGCTGGTTGGGATCTTCCCAGCTGGAACCTCTGCCCTCCACAATATTCCCAAGTCCCTGGTGTTCCTTGACATCCAGGCGCAGATTCAGCTCCCGCCCACACACCCGTAAGGAAAGCAGCACACTGGAAGTGTGGAATTACCCCTATCCGACCACACTTCGTGAGAGCACCTGCATCCGGACGGCGAGAGGTTGCGATTCACGAACCCGCTCGGCGGAACGCGACAGGGCGTCAAGGGCAAAGCAGGCGTTCCGCTGCCACCGCCAGCAGAGGCATTCTCCTTACGGCCAAGACGCCCGGCTCCTCTTCCTGCTCCAAAGTAACACGTTAGCCTCAAGGAATCAATTCCCCTCTGGATTTCTTCCCGTAACGCAGTACCTGCGAATTGTGTTGAAGGGGACACGCTTTAGGAGACAAGTGACTCGGAGGTGAACCGTGTTTAGAAAGCTCACACAAAACAGGTCTTTATTCTTCGTCGCAGAAAATAAATACAGGTGCGTATTTCATAGGCTTTTCGAGGAAAGCACTCCTACAAACCCACCGAGCCGCGCGCAACGGTACCACCTTTTTGCCTTTTAAAGGGCAAATATTATACAGTCACTTCATTTTATCTTTTGAAGCACTTGTAGCAAGCAACTTTGGGAATGTTTCATTTAAAAGCCAAATTCTTGCCTCAAGTGTTTTCTGGGGGGAGGGTTTCCATCCTGTATATAGTGCAACTAACCTAAAAGCAACTAGAACAGGGTTTTTTTGTAAAATATTCCCCACCCCATCCCACCCTCCAAAAAAAAAGAAACCCTGCAAAGAAAAAAAACCAGCTCTTAAAAACTGTTCTACCTTGATACTTAAACCAAGAGAAAACAAAAAGTGGCTCAATAGAAATATTAAGGTAAGCACGATGCTTCACAGCTCATTATCCGTTCGCTTCCAGTTTGGCCCCGGGGGGGTGTGTTTAGAATGAAAAAGCATTAATCATCCAGTCCTATATTTCTGAACAGGTACGACATGGACTCTCCGTTATGGATCCTGCGAATGGCTTCCGAGAGGATCATGCTGATATCCACAGTCTTGATTTTAGGGCACTGGAGTTTTTGTATTTCGTGGGGAATTGTGTTTGTAACAACCACCTACAGAAAGAAAGCAATGTGATCAGTAAAACGCAGCTCCCTTAGGGTTTTCCAACTCCCTTATTGGAACTGCCCAAGGGAATGTCCACGTAGCCATGGATACTAAAGCTGTCCTTCCTCCCTTCCATTCTGCCACAAAGGTAGGAAAACAGCCCTCCCGCAGCGAGGGGAAAAGTCTGCCAACCCTGGCAGCCCCTCAGCTCAGTACTTCCCTGGTTTCCCATTGCTTCAGATCCAATATTCTAGCATAGAACCCCACTGTGAGAAAGCCCGAACCCAGAAACCTCCCAGCTGAATCCTTCAAGCCCATGTATTTTAAGAATCAAGCCAGGAGAAAACTGTTGGCTTCAAAAACTCCAAATTGGAACGTCAGAATCCACGCTTACTTCATCAATCGCAGACTCCTCTATCAGCCTGGGAGCATCTGAAGATAAGAGGCCATGAGTGGCCATCACAAAGATCTTGTAAGCCCCCCTCTCCTTGAGGGTCTCGGCTGCAGCAAGAAAGCTGTCGACGTCATCTATTATGTCATCCTGTCAAAATACGATTGAGTCAGTGAAGATTCACCCCATCCTCAGACAGATCCACACGGCACATCCAGACTGACACTCTGGGGGGCCTACAAGGAAGCTGGGGGGGGGCTTCTTCCAAGGGCAGGGAGTGACAGGACAAGGGGTAACGGGTTTAAATGGACAGACAGAGATTGAGATGGGACATTGGGAAGGAATTCTTCCCGGAGAAGGTGGTGAGGCACTGCGACAGGTTGCCCAGAGAAGCTGTGGATGCCGCATCCCTGGGAGTGTCCAAGGCCAGGCTGGATGAGGCTGGGAACAACCTGGTCTAGTGGAAGGTGTCCCTGCCCATGGCAGGGGGTGGCACTGGGCGAGCTTTAAAGGTCCTTCCCAACCCAAACCAGTCTGCGATTCTATCTTTTTCAAATTAACAGTTTACAGCCAACACTAAATGGATGTTCTTCAGACACCTGGGCTAGACAGCAAGCGAGAAAGAGCGGAAAAACAGTGTCCAAAGCCACTGCAACACCAAAGGGCCGAGGGATTGCTCCATGAGGGAAAGGGGAAAAGCCAAGACAACTGACATACTCATTCAAAAATCAAACAAACAGAAAATTGCCCTTTTCCATGACAAGCCCAGAGAGACCGTAAGACTGCATCGTATCTACCTCACTGGCATTTTTGAACTCACAGAACAGAAACGGGCTGATTTTCCCCTCGAGTGATGTGTGAGCACCACCTAAACCTCCTCACCTTCAGACAAGCATTTAAACCGGAATTTATCTGGTCTGTTCACAGAAACAAGGTCCCAGTGCTGCTCTTCAGCAGGGATCAGAGTTCACAGTCAGCTTCAGTAGGCGTGCAGAGTATTGCCTCATGACACGAAGCGCAGTATCAAAGCCCACCGTCAACCGGTCTGGTTGTGGGCACAGCAGAAAGCCTACTTGATTTCTGCAGCTTCAACGCATTTGGTATCATTTATCAAAAGCTACGGCATCATACTTACCACGATGATAGCTATTCTTCCTCCCACATCTCCAACAACTGTGATGGGTGGTTTTTCCTTGGGAATCAGCACTGATTAACAGTGATTTTTTTTTTTAAAGGGGTAGAAAGGAGAAAGAAAGAGAAAGTTTATACAATTTACTTCAACTGTGGAAATGCTGGCGTTGCACGGGTCACCACTGTTACAGAGAGAAGTGAAGCAACACCTACTTCACAGCACTACTGAGAAGAAACAGCGGGGTTTTAATACAGAAATGGTTTTATGAAACTTAGCTGAAGCATCAACTACATTGATTTACACCCAAATTCTTAACTAATTCACTTACTTCTTGATTTTACTTTGGAGAATAGAGTGGTTTCCAGACACCACCAGTTCAATCCCCCTACTGAGATCCAAGCTAGGTTTATGCCACGAAGTTTGCTCACGCAGCTATAGATCACATCCACACTCAGCAAGGTTACTCTGTCAAGGCCCACGATATTATACAGCCACACACAAAACCAGTGGCAGCTCCCAAAACCCCCACACCACTTTCACACACAAACTTACTTACTGGGTATCTCCAAACTGGGATGAATAGCGGCTACGTTTTTGGCTGTAGGTGGTGAGTGTCGACCGTCCACCATGTCAGACTCGGCATCTTGAGCTTCCCCATGAATCACAGCAATTCCCAACCGTAAGCGCTCAGCAAACGACTGTGCCCTGCAGGGAAAGGGTTAAAATAAAAACACAGAAATACATTCAGTGTAAAATAATTCAAATGTATACAGTGCTGATCTATTTCTATTTTATTTCTAAAGTTTCAGGAAAAATGGATCTGAAAATTTTAGGAAAACACATGGAAAAAGGCACTTAGTCCCTTTAGCATCTTTTCACCAGGCTTGCAAGAGGCAGAATAACCTTGGAAGTACCCATACTGGCCTTGAAGCAACAGGATAAATGCTGCACGTCACATAGCTTTGGTAAATCCCTTCTGTTTTGCCCAACAGTCAAAAAAACCCCATTTCCTAAGCCTTCGGCGTTCCGGAGATCCCATGCAGGTCTCATCTCACAGTAACCATGAACAGCCTAGATATCTGGATTATCTACATTTAACAGGAGAAAAATATCCACATGAAAACCGGTGTTTACCTGGTTATTTTTAGAAAGATGTGCTCTAAATAACACAATGTCCCTGACCTTCTGACACATAACCTTAGGTATCCTACAGAAGGGAGAATCCAGATGATCATTTTGCCTGACACTTCCAAGTTAAATAGCCCGGATCTTCAGAAGCTTACAAACAGTTTCTTCACTGTGCAGTATTCCTACAACTGAAATTAGGAATCTGTGTAAAGTGTCACGTTAGCTGGGGAGTGGGGAAAGCAGAAAGTCAGGAAAATAGGAATTTCACAGACAGTGCTTGTAACGCAGATGCTGGAAGCAGAATGTAAAATTTACAGATGCATCCTACCTTACCTTGCACACCTGAGAGTCCTTAATTAACTGTCCTGACTAAAACCAGCAATGGTACCCAGGTACCTAGCCTAAGCCAGTGATCTAGTCTCCTGATCAAAGCGCGCCTGGCACGTCCAGAGCGAGTCCCTTTGATCCAACATTAGCATCTAGGACCTGTGGCCTGAATCGCCTCCTCTGCGCTTAAGCCTTGTTTTACTGCCCAAACAACTCAGAGTCCACAGAATCATTTTTCTCCCATCATGATGCTCAGTTAAACAAACATGAATAATCTTCTCCCCTGTGGTTATCATCCAGCAAGGACATTTTTTCAAGGGGTTAACTACAGGTAAGTTATGATTCCAAATATATGTATCTAAAGAGTTATGACTCAGAAGGCATAATCCTATCAATGAAATCATAATAATTACTTTAAAATGCAATATTATGCTGAATAAAGGTCAAAGTAGCAGTAAGAGGAATTATTCATTTTCCAGTAAGCTGAAACCACAGAAACATACTGAACTTCATCAAGCAAAGGTTCTATTCCACAAGTAGAGATTCATCTGAGAAGTGTTTTCCTGGATCAGGCTGAGGCATTCAGTCACCCTTAGCCAAGTACAACGTTCCTCCTCAAATACTGCTCTGAAATGCTCACACATAGACGTGAAGAAGCTAAACAATACAGCTCTGGGATCCTCTCCTACACCAATCGGTTATGTCTGCAACTGATGTCAGTGGAAGCTGTGTGTGGACTATCTGCTGGCATGCACCAGCATGAAAATGCTTCAAAAAGTGTCTGCCTGCTCCCAAGAGGCCATAATGACACTACGCAACAGACACAGTCAAATAACTGGCCAAAACAAAATAAGTCACAGAAAAAGTACTGCTGGAAAACACAGATGATGCTATACTTCTACAAGTTAAAGCATTTCTGATTTGCTACATAAACGAACATAAATCTTTCTTACAAAGAGTATCGCGATTCCTTGGCACAAAAGTCTAGGTAGCTTTTCAACAAATGATTAGTTTGTCACCACAGCAAATACAGTATCTCCTAAAGCATCCTCCAACTTTTACAGCACCTGTCCAGACCAGTGTAATTCCCAAGAGTTTAGGAATAGTCAACCAAAAAGATTCATGGATTAAGAACAAGGACTCTACAATCACAAGCACTCCAACCGTCAAACCCTGCTTCACCACACTAGGTGGTCAGCCATCGCTACCTGGGGTCTGATCAACCATGTTCCAAGTTACAACCACGTTAAGCAATTATTTTGGACTAATGGCGTTACACTTCCAACCATTTACTTCACTTACAGCAGGAAATTTATATTTGTGTGCATTTACATTACAATACGATTAAATACCTTCATTATCCTAAGCACTGTATTTGATTTACCTCATCCTTTTGTTTGGGGTTTTTTAAGTCTTAGATTTACTATGATTTTAGCAATGATGTTAAAACTACACATCTGACAAAAGAGAATTGGTAGGGATTTGAAGGCTGCATCTCCTCGTTATTAGGCTCTGTCCTTTGCTTGACCCCCAGAACAAAATCACAGTAGAGATTTCCTGCTCTAACACAAGAGAGCAGATCTTACCCACCTCTTGGCAGACGCAGGTGATTTGGCCACAATTACAGCATTCCTGTAGTCTGGTATCTGTAGCAAATAACAGATAGCAATGTCTACTTCATAGCTTTAGACAAATTTAAACTCAGTAAGAATCAGAGAACTTTATTTTGCCAGAAGAATTTTAAGAATTCCAACACTTTACCTAACGTAAGAAAGCAACCTCAAGAACCCACAGTACATGATCAGAGTTCACAGCTCAGCAAAAACAGGTATTTAGAAAATTCAGATTTTTAACTTGAAACTGTACTTTTCAGAAACACCATGTTATATTACAGATTACACAAGAGTAACTGCTTTAGAAGAACATCCAGGTTACACAAACCAGTGTTAAAAGAAACAGGAAACCATCAAAATTAAAGTTTCCTGATCAACTTGTCTTTGCGTGCACATGGCAGCCTTTAGAAAACACAGTATTTCACCTACTTCCTATTTTTAGGGTTGATTTGCAGAGTACATCAAAAAAAAATAACACCTCTCCATCACATCCTACTGACTCTCCATACGGACCATCCAAAGGGATAAAAAAATTCCACACTGCCTGTGCTGATCCTGGAGTCACTGTCTAAGAGGGTTGCAAACGGTGTCCCAGACAGATGGGTACTAGAGGATGCTGCTGCAAGCGGCGACAGCAGCAAAATGGTACGGCCAAGAGGTCTGGGTTTCACCTGGAGCTCTGATGGGTACGCCAGTCAGTCTCCACAGGTTTGCTGCCCCTGCCCTGTTCTGACTGGCTTTTTATCCCAGATGCCCTCTCCCCATTTAGCCAGTATTTTAGTCCCCACTTCCTAGTTTCTTACCCTAGTTCCCGTCTTCCCTGCAAACACTGACCCCACGCTGACCTGTCTGTCTCTGTTGGGCTGGTTTTAGTTGGGATAGAGTTCACTTCCTTCACAGTAACTCGCATGAGGCTGGTTTGGATTTGTGCGATTTGACTTAGCAACAACTAAAAGCCATCAGTGTTATCAATATTCTTCTCAGCACAAATCCAAAACTCAGCCTCCTACCAGCTACTGTGAAGAAAATTAACTCTGTCCCAACCGAAACCAGCACACATCCTGAAGTTCGAGCATTCCACCACGTGCACTTCCAGTCCTCCTTTCCAACAGCAACCCAGGGGGGTGATACCCTGCCACGCAGTTCATCGCCTTGCTGTCAGATGTCAAATACCTGTTCCAGAGCTTAGAAATACCTTGCTTGGGTTTGAAAAAAAACCTCAAGTGCTTCTACAATCTTATCTTCACACATACAAACTCCACCAGCTGTTTCCAAAACCACTCTACCTGTAACAGGCACGGGAAAGAAAAAACTAAGTTCTGAATTTGGGCATGGGCCTAACCAACTGAAAACAAGAGCTTTTCTGAAGACATGTCAGGCTACATTAATGATCTGCAATCCTAACTCCACCTGTAATACTGGGAATTCAGCATGTTCCATCCTTTACAAACACTTAGTTATACAACAGGCCAAAGATTAACATGATGGAAGGTATGGACAAGGCAGGGCCTGTCACTTGACATAATAAAGGCTTTGATCTCGTTCAGACATCCTTGCCTCATTTTTCCACTGCCAAGTGATCAAATTTGTTCTCAGCTCTTTAAAAATGAGGTCAGAAAGCCAGAAATGTCATCCAAAAGACAGTAAGACATCAACAACTCCTTGTAACCAAGGGCTACGTCACTCTAAGATTAACATGTACGCATCGGAAAGAGAGGAGACACTAAGCATTGAACATTTGGGAAGCAAACAAAGGAAAATCACCACGTTATTTTATAGCATGTTAATTTCACTGACTGGACTGTCTTCATCCCAGAACACCACCTCATTCTCTTCACACCTATGCGTAAATTCCCAACAAGGAACAACTACAAGCTCTTATCTAGCAGTTAAACACTTCAGTGTGCTCTGTTCTTATCAAGCTGGACTCTACTTCGCACTGCCCAGTACACCCCAACACAACTCCCATTCGAAAGGTTTCTCCTGCTTCGGCATTCACAATGCGGGACATACAACGAGCTGCTGCCCCCGAGACCTTGAGACTGATACTGAATTCTTCCTGAGCAGCACTGGATGGAACTTTTAAGCAAAGATACTATAAACGGCCTGGCTGGTGGGGGTATTTGCCAATACAGATCCCATGTGATCAGACACATTCAGTCAATGCTAGTTTTAGCGTCACCTCCTGGACGAGCAGGGGAATGAAGAAATGAAAAAGTGAAAAGTATCTGTTAGGACCTCTCTACGGGTATTTCAGCGGGTCTCTACAAATGTTCATCTGTTAGACCGCACAGCAGTGCCAGACTCAAAGCTGCAACAATTCTCTGTAAACCACTAAGAGCTCGCGTATCAAAACGTGTTTCAAGACTAAACCAGGAACACGATCTTGACCATAATCCAGACATTCAAGTAACACATAAAGGCCTAACTTGCCTTGAGCCTGCATATTTGGTTATCCACTTCTTTCATCTTTTTTTAAAGTTATGGAGTGCTTTCAACATGCAATACTTCTCTCCTGGTACACAGCAGGACAACTGCCTGTGGCACAGCCAGAGCCTGGAGTTTTGTTCTAGCATCCTCTTTGACTCTAGTACAGTTGAAATGGTAACGACAGACGCAAACGGTAACTGATTCCCCAAACAGATTTTAACACTGCCATAACAAAGTCATGTTGGTTTGGGGTTTTTGGTTTGGTTTTGGCTTGGGGTTTGGGGTTTTTTTGGGTTTTTTGGGGTTTTTTTAATTGACTCATTCATCTCTCTGTAAAAAGAAATAGCTTGGATTGAAAAGTAAGCGTGAGCTAAACCTTTTCTCTCACCAAGAAGAAAGCATTTGCTTTATTACAAATTATCATTAGTCAGAGGCATAACGTGCATCTTACACCTACAATTATCATCTGCACAATCGGTATCTATCAATCCACCAGCAGCACTTCTCAAAGGACTTATAAAAGTCCAATGGAGAGCTGGACGCACAGAACACGAGAAGTTAAGCTCCTCAAGTCACGACATGCTGAGCAAACAGCAGGTGAAGATTTCCACACAAGAAGCAATCTGCTCTGACTTTCAGAGTACAATCGACAGGCTCCCATAGTTTACAGCTTAATTTCCAAAGTGTTTTCATAATGTGATACAAACTACACCTACACAAGCAGTCCATCCTATAAATATAAAGGAAACTGAAAATAAGAAAGGAAGAGGATGTCTAGAGCAAGAAAATCGTTTTTGGTTTTTTAATACCAGTTAGGGGAATATATCTAAGAAGGCAGAATAGCATCGCTGCACAGGTAACAAAACGCCAGCTCTTCATGAAAGTAACACTTAAGCCTGTGGGGAAGAAAAGAACCAAATGTCCCCCACCACACCCCTTGCCCCAACATGACCTTTCCCCCTTTTAAAATTCTGTCTGAAGAGTCAGTCTTTTCACAGGAATTTGTGTCAGAAGCCTTCAGAAATTATTTTTAAAAAGTCATTTTAAAAAGCAACTGTAATAGCAGGCCTTCCTCACCTCTTCTTGGATGTATTGTAGTAAAAAAGGAGATGCTCTCAAGTTATCAACTGGAATATTGAAGAAACCCTGTATTTCCTTCTGATGTAAATCCATGGTTATGAGATGAGTTAGTCCTTTAAAAAAACAAATAGGGACACATACGGAGAAGCACATCAAGAAAAGGAAAGGAACAGACACACTCATCATTTCTCTAGTAAGTGTAACTGGTTTGTTCAGAACACAATCTCTAAGCTGCACTAGAACAAGACGACTAAGTGAAAGTACGTACGTGGTAACTACGTCACGCCTAAGCACACCAGCATCATGGTCAGAAATTTCTCCTGTGTCCTTTCCAAAAGGACCTCAGAACACCCTACATCACTGACTCAGTAGTGCCACAGTGAGGCAGGTAAGATCATCTCCATCTGACACGTTTACATCCAGGAAAAATTTGGCAGTTATTTTTAAACAGAGTCGCAGCTTGTACGCTGACCTCTGTAAACCCGAAAGCTGGCAGCAGGAGCCCCCACTGCCCTGATTATTTCATAACCACCTGTGTCCTTACCAGCTTTGCACATCATGGAAGCCAGTAATTTAGAGACAATGGAGCCCCTTTTCCTCATCTTGCACTGTTTGCTGTACGGGAAGTAAGGAATCACTCCAATAATGCTTTTGGCACAGGAGGTTTTACAAGCATACACCATGATCAGGAGTTCCATGATCGTAGTATTCACATCCCTGGAATGAGAAACATCTAGTTCTGTCTGTCGTGCGTAAAAATCCTGTGTTCAACACAACATTGACACCCACTCCAGGGCAGTATGGAGTACAGTGACTCAGTGACCTTCAGGAAGAATCCAGCTGTGCACCTCAGACCACAAGTGCCCTGGGCCCAGCATTTTAATTCTTTACTAGAATTATACTACTATTTTTTTTTTTTTCACTTGGCTATTTTGGGCAATTCAGCAGTTTTTGTTATACTATCTTCAGGCTTTTATTAATGCAACACATTGCTGTAACAAAGTAGTCCCTAATTTATCTCCAACATCTCTTTCTATTGTGCACAAACCAAAATATGTATATATTTTCACGTAGATAAGCTTTTCTATAAAAAAGACCCAACTTTCAGAGTTTAGAACATATTCCTCTAAATATTTAGCCTGCTGTTGGCATGAACAATAACAATCACCATCTATCTTCTGCCCTAAACGCAAAGATTGAGAGGGTATCTTTTTAGATGAGAACTTGTCATCAACCAAGAGACCTCCTATTTCTGCTGCCATTAAAAAAAAAAAAAACTAGTATTTGTAAAGTTCTTTTCACATTAAGAAAAAGTTGTTTTCTGAATCACGGGACACATTGCTTAGGAAATGCTCCTCCTACATTTAGAGCTAGGTAATGTGCTGGAGTCAGGGAGCTGAAAAGGGAAGACTTTAAAGAGAGTAACATAAGCAAAAGAATGCAGAGACCCAGGGGAGCATCTGACATATTCACTGAAAACTGAAGTGACAGAGGGTAACTCATACTGAAGTCTTCTTTGTGCACATACACGACAACCCCAAAACCACTAACAACAAAAACCCCAAAAAGAGAAGCCTCTATCCAGTTAATCTAAGCTTATTATAACATACACATTAAAAGGTGAAGAAAAAGTAAGCCAGAAGCATTCCTATGGACAGTCCATGTCAAAACACTATCATAGTGTCTTTAAACAGGTACTCACTTTGAAACAGTTTGGATGATAAATACATCCTTTCCTCTCACAGACTCCTGAATCTGCACTCTCGTTTCTGCCAAGAAGAGAAATATGTAATGTTTGCAATAGCAAAACTCAAAGTCTAAGAAAAGGGTAGCCACATATGCACTCATAGCTACACTTCCAGTTTGGCCCATCAAATGCTCACCTCTGTTCGGTTCTTGATAAACCTGAACCTTCCCCATCTCAACTCCCAAGCGTCTGTAGGGGCAGAAAGAGAAAAGAGAAGTCAATATGGGAAAACAAAGGGCAAAAGAAATCCAAAGCCCACACGATGCAATAGTTACTGAAAATGCTATATTCCACAGGAGAAAACCAAGTAAATCCCACACCATAAACCCAGTAATTACAGTGGAAATGCCTCAAAGCATGCACAATTTCCAGAAACTGCACTGCAGACTGAACTGAACTCGCTTAAGAAGAACAAGCAGCAGAAAAACAATAATGCCTGATTACTAAATCATGCAACAATTTCTAATTATCAATATCTAGTTCAATACATGCTCTATACATGTTGCCACCTATATATGTATATAAACGCGGCCACATGCACACAGTGCTTAGAAGAGCACTTTAAATCATTCTGCTCTACAGAAACATCAACGTAAATAGGAAATACTAATGAGCTCTACTGGATAAATAATGGAAGACTAATGTCTGCTGTACTTATTTCACTTCAGTATTGCACAGACCCCCGCCACTAAAAAAAGGAGACAACCGAGCGTGCCGCATGTAACTTGAGTTCCTTGCACGCTCCTTTCTCCTCCTACCTAGACCTAACTTCAGGTAGGTCAGCCTCAGGAGGAAAGCCATCACACACAACACTCCTGGCAATGTTCCCCACCCAAATACCGTGATAGCAGCATGGTAAGATCTTACTTAAGTCAAAAAAGTTCTGCTGAAGCTGTTCATGCATTTAAAGCTAAACAAATGTTCCCATCTAAAACATACAGTGAGCAGGATGGATGCAGCTTTGCCATATAAAAAAAAAAATTGCTACAGGGAGAAGAAAATGGTAAAACCTTCTGCCGTGATTATTTAACACCACCCAAACGTTAATTTTCCCACGTGCTCTCTGTAACATACTGCAGCAAATCGCAACCTGCCACTGAGCAATTTAAGCACGAGGTTTTTTCTGTTATCGATCCGCTGAGTGCACTGTGCAACACAGCACACCAGATGTTCTCGCAAACCATGGCAATTTTCCCACGTAAGTCTCCTTAAACAGGAAAACCAGCCTTCAGCAAAACTAGTCCCATCGCAGTAACACCAAGATCCGAAGCTGCCCCGCAGGAGATTTTACTTACTCAGCAATCCTCTTCGATAGTTCCATGCATGACGAATTGGAATTAGCTGAAAACAGCACCAGTCCACCCTTGGTTATATTCATGATGGCCCCAATTTCAGTTGATGGCACACAAAACATCAAACCTAAGTTGTTTTTCCGCTTCTAAAAGGCTGTAAAAGATCAAAGGTCTGTTAAAGCCACAAAGTAAAAAAACAAAAAAAGAAACCACTTTCTAGACAGAGAGAATTTAAAGTTTCCCATGAACCTGTATTTTCCAGCATCCTTGATAGTGCCACTTGACTAGTGCCACAGAGACATCCTTACAGAACATTGTGGCCCACGAGCTACTGTTTACCAACACAGCTCAGCACACCTAACGACACAGCTCAAAGAAGGGGACTTCAGCCTGCCTCGCCTTCCTTCTTCTGCCCCCAGCTTTCCAGACTCTCCAGCAGAATCCTTCCCTAGAGATCTCCAAAGATCCCCCAGGACAACCCCCAGACTTCAACAGGTTTGTTCTTGGGGTTGGGGTTTTTTTTCCCCTTTTTTGAAAGGTTTTCCTCAAGCTATCACCTAATACGACGGATCCCCTTTTCCATCAGCTTGTCCAGTTCATTTTCCAGAACTGAACAACCTTTACTGACTTTTTCAAGACCACAAAACCAGTCAGAGGTAGAAGCAAGCTAAATAGAGCTCCCGGGTCCTGGCTCTGCTAAACTGGCTAGAAGACTATTTCCATAGTTGCAAATCTTTCCATGACTTTGCAATAAATTATCAACTTACAAATGGGGATGAAATGCAAGAAGAGTTCAATAAGGCTGGCAGCTGTAAATAATGACTTCCCGAACAATGCATCCACTTGGTGAAGCAGCTGTCATTCTTTGATACTAATATTTCTCCTGTGAAAACAGGAAAAAAATATCAAGAGGAAATCTACACTTTTTTTTTTTTCCCAAATACAGGCACAAACCACTAATCCCACCAAGGACTTCATGGGATTCTATCTTGACACTTTTTATTCTTCTTTGCAACATCACGTTTTCAGGATGACTTCTACTATAACATTTTGTTCAAATAAAATAATATTAAAAAAAAAAACAAAACACACTGACAAAAGTAACATTCAACTCAAAAAGCCGTAGGCTACCGCACTTCACTTCAGCTGTATAAGTCGTCCGATCCCTCATCACTCATTTTAGCATTATGTTAGGGACTGAAAATATCAAATATGAGGGGCATAATTCAAAACAAAGTAACTGGAAGTTTGGATAAATCAATAACTTCTTTCCTAGCAAATGGCTCCCTGCTGAGAAACATCATTATTGAAGAGTCACACGTAATCTCCTCCAAACAACTGATGGTGTATCAGCTATTAAGCGCTCCAAAATCTCATTTAAGAGAAAAAGCAGAGTTTTCACACTTACAGGAACAACTGGCTAGCTCTACAGAGAAACACATTCTGCCCACCTTTGCAACCAGACATGCTCGATGTGACCCTGCCGCAGAAACCGTACCCGATTCATTCTCAGTTCAACACCAAAGTCAAGAACTGCCCAACAACAAATCTCTTCATGAAACACCTGTGCTACGCTCAATCGCTGCGAATGAAAACCTGCCCGTCATCAAAACCTCCAAACTGAGCAAAGAGGGCACAAGTAGCGAGTTTCAGCAACAGAATTTGGACACCTAGATGGTGTGACTCTGCTAGAAGCTGAGATGCCCCTCTATACCACCAAAGCAAGACCCCACCCCTTTCAGCCTTTGCTTTCAGATTACAAAAAAATAATAACAGTCCTAGAAGGCAGGATGGTTACAGACACCCAGCCTAAAGCTCAGCTCTATCCCTCCCAAACTAAGCACCCAACAACTTAGAGAATTAAAAACCTGTTTCTTGGCTAGTGTTTCTTCCTTGGTTTTGCTGCACTAACTCCGAGCTGGTACTCAACAGCCATCACCCGTCAGATGCTCGTAAAGATACACCTTATACCCAACAAAGTGTACTAGAAATGCTCCAACCACCACCTGAAAGCACCCTGCTTGCATGACTGACGGTGAAAAGAGTAGAGATAACCTCCAACGTTACTAAAAAACATCCACGTGGTGTCTTGAAGACACAGTTTTTTGGGGTTGGTGGGGTTTTTCCCATCATGCTGCTCCACAGAGTAGGCAAAGTTAGAGAGACCTGCTGAAAGACAAGAGTTGTTGGCTCCTCATTATTGCTGAGGGTGCACTTCACACCACAAGACACTGACATATTCACAAGCAACACCAAACGTAACTCTTCACAGAGCCACAGGTCAAGGCCTTCGTGGCAAATGTACTTCAGCAGCAAATGGGCTACAGCGTGTAAGGGGTGAGAGGGGAGGGAAGTTACATTTGTAGAGTAATATTGATGTAACCAAGCTTGAAACAGGTGTGGGATGACAGCAAGCTCACAAAACTTTATTAGACATGTAAAGACAGGACTCCACAAGGGTACACGAGACCATAACCCTCTGGCTGGAGGTGGATGAATCTTACAAGCCTGTGGGAACACATGCACCGGAGTGGGCTGCAGCCCACCAACTCCTACCCCTTCTTTTGGGCTGCACGCAATGACAGACACATCGTGATGAACACAGCAATCACTGGACTGGGTACACATAACACCCTACTCCCACTGCCTTTACACCTCCACGGACAGAGCATGTCCACGCACAAGGCGCCAGAGGCAGGGATAACTGTGGGATGACCACGGCCCTAAAGAATTGATCCCCAGGGGCTGGAGGGAAACTGCACCCCCTCATCCATCTCCCCAGAGGGAAAATCTCCCTGGCCCAGAAGGGCCCTGCACACTAACCCATCCCCCTGGGCTAAACGGCAGAGGGTCAACCCTTCCACCCCACAGCTCCCTCCAAGTCCTTCAGCTGCTCCAGGCGGGCTCCACACGCCCTGGGAGGGGAATCCCCCCCCAGGCACCCCGGGGTACCTCAGGATCCCATCCCTCCTCTCAGAGGAGAGGCTTGGCCACGCTACTCCACCTGTGGGGCTGGGGGACAGCCCAGGAGAGGGTCCCCCTCGCACCGTGCCCCTGAGGGAAGGCCGATGAAACCCCTTCCTCAGGCTGCGGGAAA